TTCCTCCTGTGTAAAGTGAGGAGAGTAATGGCACCTCTCACCCAGGGTTGTGGTCTGGGGTAAGTTAGTTCTCAAAGCAAAATGTTTACAACAGCATGGCCCACAAAGTTAGTTTTCCTTACACCGGTCATGTGTTATTGGAAGGAAGAACATCGAGTTCCTTTTGATCACATGTGTTTTGGAATCTTCAGTTGGGAAGATAAAAGTAAGGGAGATGGAACAAAAAGGAAAAGATGAATAGGAAATAGCAGCTATAATTTGGCAGCATTTATGTAAAAGACGACATCGGTGCACTATCTCGTTTCCTGTTACAAGAAATCTTTGAGGTAGGCGTTATTGTTACTCATTTCCAGATGAGGAAGCCACGCTCAGAGGTTCGCTGACGTGCCCACAATCACACAGGGGGCTGGAACCCATGTCTGTCTGACTCCAAGATCACACACTCCGACCTCAGCACGGTATCACCCACTGTGCGTAAGAAGGAAACAAAGGGGGGGAATGAGGCGAGCAGACTAATGGGGAGGAGAGGGCTAAAGTAGCATCTCTGTTTTCCGCCTTGAGCTGGAGCTTCTCTCCATAAGGGCAACGGAAACACTTCACGCCGTGATGGTGATGATAAAGTGTGACATCGTTCTCACTGCTGGCACGCAGAGCTATAGTTCACAGTACTTGGGAACATTTTATAAACATATGTGTATTGGTGACTCTACTTACATGCTTCCGGGAGGGTGTTAAAAGGTGGAGATCGATCCAAGCGAATCCCCAAACACTGCACAGAGGGAGTCGTGTACAAATTGCTGGGATCGGTACCCAGACCAAGTACAGCTCACCATTGTTTATGTCCATGGAAACCCACCTCTTTGTTTAGAAAGCCATCCAGTGGTCCCCGGTGCATGCACTACTTTCCCAAACTCTGCCCAGTGAGATGCTCACACTGTTCTGCAGGTCCACGGCAGTTACTGCCTGGCGATGGCACAGACTCCACGAACCCCAGCCGTCTCTGCTCAGGCAACAACAGGCTCTCCAAAAGACAAGCTGAATGTATCTTTTGGGTCAAATGTTTGCCTGATGCGTGCCCCCGCCCCTGGCCCTGTTTCTCATTATCAAGGTACTTGGCCCTGCTCCCCTTAATCGTAGGTTTGGAAGGGGGTGAGATCGGCCTTCCCTCTTCGGCTACATCCACTGTTGGGGGCTCCCCTGAATGAAGGAGGGCCGTCTGAAGCCCACTGCCGACGTCCCGTGCCTCCAGCTCCCTTCGTCTCAGCACAGCCGCGACTCCCACTAGCTCAGAGTTTCATCAGAACACAAGGAGTCCCTCCTTAGCTGCCTATCCCAAGGCTGTGCTAGTTGAAGGAAAACAATTAGTTTGGTAGAATTTCCCGATCAGATGGGTACATGGGACTTTTCCTTTTTGCTGGTACAAAGGATGTCTAAAATATAAACTGTCCTTAAGTCACCCTCATCTGAGTGAGCCTGAGGCTGAGGTGTCTACACTCACTCTCTGATAGCAAAGGTCTTCAGGTGCATTGGTTGACCCTCAATCCACCAGCATGCTCAGTGCAGACCTGGTGTAGAACTTTAGGTGAGAAGAAAAAATCCTATCACCAGGAAGTCTGGATGTGACCTGTGAGCCCTGCCTCTCTATTACCCACAGAGGAAAGAAGTCTCATCAGATGATCAGATGCCCCCCCAGCCGTGATTAGAGGTAAGCAGATGAATGAGAAGACTGAGACAGCACAGTTATTGAAATAAGATTCACTGGAAGCTGGCACCCAGACTGCTCAACATGGTTCAGTTTTGCGAGGTTGTGGAGAGCTCACAGCCATTTCTGACACTATTTTTTAACACCAGCATGTGCTGGCTCTGCGGAGTGAATACGAACCAGCTTGGCATCTCAGAATGCCGAGTAGAGCTTGGGACGGAGAGACTAGATAGAGGCAAGCAATTGGCAGAAGCCCCTCAAAGTGGCAGCATCCTAAACTGAGGTTCCACCTGCAGGGTCATATCCCATAACCTTCCCGGCCAAATACCCCTCTAGGGCTGGGCGCTAAGTTAGCAGCTCCGGGGGTAGAATACAATGAGTTTGGAGGTTTGCTGTCATCAGAGCTGCCACCCCCATTATCTCCCCTGACAGAAAACTCTGGTTAATGTCCCAGTGCCTTTTTTGGTCCCGCTGTGCCCTTTTCTGGAACCCCCATGTCTGCCCCCGAGGTTTTAGTAGATTCCTATTTGTCCTTCAATACTGAGTTTAAACTAAGTACCAACTCCCCAAGAAGCCTTCTGTGACCACGCAACTGCCCCGATCTGACTTAGAAGTCCTTTGCTGCTCCCCACACCTCTTGTAAATGCCATGCAGATCACCTTACACTGCCCGGGGGTGGGGGGGGGGAAGCTATATTTGTTTGTGAAGATCCACATCTTATTCAACTTTTCTCTGCTCAAACGTGGTCATTAGGGATACGTGCTTGTATAAGCGCCCTGTGCCTCAGTTTTCTCATCTGTAAAAGGGTAGAATACAGTATATACCTGATAGGGTTTTCATAAAGATTAAACCAGCAAGTGGATGTGAAGTGCTCAGAAGAACCATGAGTTCTTGGTGTTAAGTGTCTGTGATATTAACAAATAAGTGTAATCTTGAGTAAGTCAGGTACTTTAGACAGAATACCTTCTATGAAATGGAGACAATTTTATTTCTTTACATAATGACAGTAAGGATCAAATAACATAACATGGTTGATTACAGTACTTGGGGAGCTATAAAGCGTGATCTATGACTACCCATCTTGGTTATCATTATCTAATAAATGATATTCGGTTTCTAAGCCAGAACTCCAAGAAGATTTTTTAGTGGCTAATGCATGGGTGCCCAAGGCCTTACACAAGCCTCAGGCTTCCTCCTTAACTTTCCAACATTGGCCATAAAGGACGAGGTACAGTTTGGACACAAGGTTACAGGGACCATGAATGAGAGTAAGGGAATATAGACCCCAAAGTTCTATGAAGAATTGGGATACTACCCACTCAAACAGAGCACCGATGTCGGCAGAACCTGGAGCACCCAGGGGAGCTAGGAAGCGCAGTCATTGTTGGCTGATTCTGAGCACATCATAAAATCTATGCAATTCAAGAACCAGAAAGAATTTTTGAAATTCTAATTTCAAATGTATGCCCATTCCCTTGTGTTACGGATGAGAAAACAGATGTCTATGGCTCCCAAGAAACTGCCCCCAAATCAAGTATCAAGCCAGCGACCAACAGCTCTCACCTCCTAATCTGCAGCTTACGGGTTTAGGTAAGTTTTGCTTGTAGCTTATCCCCACTGCTGCCTTCCCAGGGCAGTGTTTAGGGACACACGGGCTCAAGTCCCAGTTCTAACATTTATTAAGTCTGTGGCTTTAAATGCATCATTGAATGGATTCAAGGGATTCAAGTTTCAGTTTCTTCTTTTGTAAAATAAGGATCATAGTATCTCTTCTAAATAGTAACAATTGCAATGTTCTTTAAAACTAAGCAATGCATAAAGACCATATTGTAAAACATCTCCTTTGAAAAAAGCATGTAAGAACTGATTCTCTCTCTTGCTCTCTCTCGTTTTTCTTTTGGTTTTGAAGTGGTTAAAAAAATTCTTCCTTCTGACTTTAAACCTGGCTGCACCAGCATTCCCACTGGCCACATAACATGCGCTCCTCCGTGGCGGCGGTCACGTATAGCTTGGTGTGTATAGTAAAGCAGTGTATAGCACAGTGCTGCACTATACCTCATGTTTGCTTTCTCACCTCTGCACCTCTCCCGCCAGGTACGGCGGGGCTGCCAGTGCCAGCTACTGCCTTATCCATCTTTCTGTCTTTCTGCCCAACTGTTGCTCCAAGGATATGTTCTGTCTGCAGACAGCTGCCTTTATCAGCACAAGACGACAGAAGCTGCCCGGGAGTGACCCGAGCTCTGTCTTCCTCTAGGAAGTCCTCTTGTCCATGGAGCCGGCTGCCTGTCTCCCTTGGGCAGCGTCCTTCGCCTGTCCACAAGCCCCTTACAGGCTCACCCGGCCATCAACGCCTTGCCCTCCGATACCTGTGTTTATCACAGCTGCGGGACTGAACCCATTTCTGAAGTTGGGTCAGGCAGCCAACCCCCAGGGATGCCCGGCCTTCCCCTTGGCAAACCCAGGAGCCAGGCCCGGGGCTCTGCCCTGGGGGCAACAAAACCTTGGCTGTTTGCTTTCTCGTGCTTTCTCCAGGGCGACTCAGCTCCCAGGTCCCCAGGGGGCCCGGCGAGGTTTGCGTCTGGGGCGGAGGATGCGTCCCAGGAGGATGCACAGGTGGGGACAGCCGGGAGTGCTCAGAGGGCCCACGGCGGTGGTGCGGCTGAGAAGGCGCCGCGGCCCCACCTAGCCTGAAACTCTGGGTCTACATCCTCTCTTTGCCTCCCGACCCCCGAGAACCAGGATTCTTTGACGGGGGAGCAGGAGCTTTTATCGTGCGCTTTTATCACGGCGCACTCTTCGCCACCCCAGCCACTCCGGAGACCCCCTTGCCAGCCGCACTTACGCTCCCTGTCGTCTCTGGAAGACGAGGCAGCGACGGGCACCCTTATTCTCTCACTCAAGGGCGATGGGTACGAGGTGGAGAAAGAGGAAACTTCCAAAGTAGAAAGGGGGAGAAGCTTGCACTCTTGCGCGGGTTCCCCAAGCCCTTGTCCCGGAGAGGGGCGAGGACGCCCCGACTCCCCCCCCCCCACCCCCCATTGGAGCTCCTGGCTGCTTGTTGTCCTCATCAGCACCCCATGCGCACAGCCACCCGCGCGTCTTTCCCCGTCGCGGCCGCACGATCCTCCCGGGGCCCGCGCGGGCAGCGAGGGGGTGTGCGCGGCATCCTTCCCTCGGTCCCCCAGCGGTCGGCTCGCACCGCAGCGGCGCAGGGCGGCCCCCGCCCAGGTCCCCGCAGGCGGCGGGCGCTCTGCGCGCCTCCTCCCACCGCCACAGCCCGGGGCCCCCGGCGGCTCACCAGATGGCCATCCTGCTCTTGGGGTAGTCCAGCCGCTCCAGGCAGCCGAGGAAGTGAGGCAGCGTGTGCGCGGCGTTGCGGGCCAGGATGGCCACCAGCACCGTGGGTCTCTGCAGAGGCGACTCGGGGAAAACCCTCGCCTCCTCGTCGTCGTCCTCCGAGTCCGGCTCGGCCGCAAAGCGCGCACGGCAGCCGCCGCGGAGCAGAGCCCAGGAGAGGAGCAGCAGCGAGCAGGCGAGGCTGGCGGCGGGGCTCGCAGCCATGTTCACGGCTGCGGCGGGCGGCGGGGGACCTGCAGCGAACGCCGAGCCGGGGGATGCGGCTTGCCGAGCCGGAGGAGAGCGCACGCCGGCACCGGCCTCCGTGGCCCCGGACCCTCCCGCCGCCGCCGCCGCCGCTGCACCGCCCAGGCCCTGACGCAGGGGCGCAGCGAGTACCTGCAGCCGCCAGGGCTCGCCCGGGGCTCAGGCTCGCAGACAGTCGGGTCTGTGGGGCTGCTTGTCCTCAGTCCTGCGGAAAGTTCCTCCAGCCCAGGCTCAGCCTGTACAGCTGAGGTCTGTGGCTTCCCCCGGAGCCGTGAGGTGTGGCCCTGTCTGCCAATGGGCGTGTGAGTGAGTGTGTGTGTGTGTGTGTGTGTGTGCATAACGGTACAACTCCAAGAAAATTTATTCTGCTTTCGCAAACCACAGTCTCAAGTCCTTCCCAGTGATGCAATGCATCCCGGTTTTCATAATGCACCTATTGACGAGATGGGAGAGCTCTGAAACGGAAAGTCACCCAACTCTTCATTACTGTGGTAAAAAAAAAAAATTAACTTTCACAAAGGTAGAATGTTTGCATTCACGTATACACTTAATTTCCCCTGAAGTTTATCCTAGACTGGGGAGACCTTGGATCTGAGCAGACCAAGTCCGAAGGCTTGGAGAATCTCACAGCAGCCGGATGGAACCCCTGAACGGAAAGGACCTGCCCTTTGGGGCGCTGTTCTGAACCCCCCGCTCTACAGGCCGGCCCAGGGCCCTGAGCTTGCTGCTGGGATAGGCAGGACCCAGGACAGGTGGCTCAGTTAGATAGTTTTCTTCTTCCCTAGTGACCTAAACTAACCAGGAAAGGAAAAATCCGTCCATATTGGAGACGAGAGAGAAGGAAGAGGAGAAGGAGGAACACAGTGAGGCCGTGAGATGAAATTGCTAAAGGACCTTTGCTCTTGAGGATGACACGGAGACGCCGCTAATGAAATCCTCAGCACCTTCACCGTGGGACTGTGCGGGCTGTAATCAGTCATGGGAAAGGTGGGTTGGTACCACTGCGCGTTCACGACCCCCCGTCCTAACTTGTCCCACCACCTTTCTACTGGTTTCATCAATCCTTCTCGGCAACTATGAGAAGAAGCCTTGGCCACTCGGCTGCAACCACCTTGCTCCCTCTGAAGAGTTCACCTTCTTTACTGAACTTCCTCACACCCACCTCTGACTACCGCCTCTACCCACACACTCCTGCCGTGCACGCACCTGTCCTGACAGGGCCTTTGATCCCCTCCCTTCCCCTCCCTTCTGGTCTAGGACTTTCCCCCATCATTTAGCTCCACTCTCTACTGAATCTTCAACTGGTTCCTCTCTATCTTGTCCCTCATGATAAGAGCTCAGTCAGTCCTCTCTTATTCTTAATTATCTCTCTGACCCTAACCCTAACCCTAACCCTAACCCTTCTTGCTTCTGTGGTTCTATCTACCTGAAATTCCAACCCCTGTATCCCCTTGTGACCCCTGTTCTTTTTTTAAAACATACTACTGAGTTCAAGGACATTTCTTTAATGAGGCATTTCCTAACTTTCTCCACACCCTTCCTTATCCTCCTCTTCCACCATAACCGTACCACTCCATTATATTTATGTGTTTATTCGATACATGTTCATTACCCATGCATTTCCGCACCTGCGCCTTGGCACAGAGTGGGCATTGAGTACATGTTGGAAGCAGTGAGTGAATACAATTTAAGGGGCATGTCTAGTCTTCCTAAGTGAGCTACAGGAGCATATTTCAAATTTGTTTTTCAACTGTATTGAAAACCATATTTCTATAGTCACTATTTTATGTAGTTCTTGAATGCAGACCACAGTGTAGACAAAACTTGGACGCTGGGACAGGGGAGGGGAGGGAGAAAAAAGGAAGGACGGAGGGAAGGAGGCAGGACTGGAGGGAGGGATGGAAGGGCGCAGGAAGGGACGTGTAAAACAATCCAAGTATGATTAGCTCTTCTGTGCCAAAGGCTCTGAATTTAATGATTAAGTCTATTTTACTGCTGGATAAAAATATGTTGAAAAAGGCGGGGATAACTACCCCAAATCCACTGCCTCACCATAACTATTATTACCATTTTGGGATCACTTTAATTTGACATTTTCAACTTGGATATTTTCAATATGGGTTTGTACTCATTTCTCTTTAGTGAGACTCAGCACCATGTTGATAGGAAATGTTGAATAAATACCTAGAAAAAGAGATGAAATATTGTGGGGACCCTGAATTGCTTTTGATGCTTTTTCATATTCACAAAGCCAAGTATTATTTAAGACTGCACATATATAGTATGTCCATTTATTTAAGGTCTTCTTTAATGATCACCAATAACATTTATAGCATTCTTCATAAAAAGCTTGCTCGTCTTTTCTAGGTACTTTATTTTTTGTTGGATTTTTTTGTTCCAGATGTTAGCAGCATTTAAAAAACTTAAATATATTATATCCTGATTTTGTAAATGGGAAATTCAGAACACACTCTTAAACTTATGAGAAATTGGAGAAAACGTATTTTGAATTATTCTAAATTCTTTCCTGCCTGCTAGAAATCCCTCCTATATGCTCATGCGTGTGGATAGTAAAATAGCATAGCATTCTAAATATTTTACTGAAGGTATAAACATCTCACCCATTCTGCCTGAAACACAGAGAATGGAAAATGGCATAGTTTGTGTACAAAGGAAGGAGCAAGAGACCCAGGGACATTCTTATGACCCATGGATGAAAAGCTGATCTAGAACATGAGCCTCCATTTTCCAACTTGAAATCACAGTCGTATACAACACTGCATGGAGTCATTTTCTTTTTAACACACTAAAAACTCGCATTGAAATTCAAAGTTTGTTTTTCCTCCTGGGACTCTAACTGAATTAATATGTCTCTGCCTAGACATTAGAGTTGTTGTTTTTTCTGAGGGAATAAAATGCCCTGGCTCAGACATCAGGATGGGAAATCAGTGGAGCAAGTGCCGGATTACACAGAATTTGATCACACCCATATACTCAGGGGGACATTTATTGTTGTTACTTAACTAGTTTTTTCCCTGACCACTTTGATTCTCCAATATAGTGCTCTACTGAAGAAGCTTTGTAAAAGAAAAAACCCTATAGTCTATGAAAAGCTGAAACTCTAACCTGTTCTCTGTGGGTTACACTCTAGGTTGCCACAGTAGTCATTTTGATTTGAGTATGTACTTTAAATCCTAGGTTGTGTTTGTGCTCCCAAATCTTCTTTCTCCCTTAGTCATTTCCAATCATCAAGACTTATAATAAATTTACATCGCTTAATGTGAAAGCCAAGAGACACTCTATTTTCATTCTTTAATTCTTTTTAGTAGACTTTAAAAGTCAGAAGTACTTAAAATGCATGCTTATATGTATCATGGTTTTTTGTAAGCAATAGAATGTCATCTATTTGCCAAAGGGTACATTAGCCTGTTGCTTTTTCCATTTACAGTTCTTTCCGCATCCTTCTGGGATTCTCTGCATCCCCTCTTTTCTGCTGAAACTTAAGCTGAAAACCTTTCCCTGAAGATGGTTGAGCCTTGTTCACATGGTACCTGTTTCCACTGGGTCTCCTTACTAATTTATAAAATCTCCCGTCTACTCTCATTAGGAACGAAATGCTCTTAATGCTTCTATAAATACCATCATATGAACTGATTGGAGGTCAGAGAGAAACATTCATTCACTTCTAATTACTTCAATTAATGTCAAGTTCAGTGCTTCAAGGAGTCTACTAATTTCAGTGCCATTTGCTTCTTTAGGGCTTAGCAGCTGCTCTGTGGAGACAAAGGTTAATGGTGATTCCAATGCAACACATTGTAGGGAAACTTGTGAATCTTTATGTGCGGCTTTCCATCACTTTCAGGAATAGATGCACTTCTCCCTGTTGATAATATGTTGCATTTCTCTGGATGCATTCCAATTTCTTAGCTGGCTTTCAGTAATTTGACTTCAGCATGGACTTTGTTGTGGTTATTTTACTCTGTGGTCATTTAGCATTCTGTACCTGCAAATATCTGTCTGTCCTCAAATCTGGGAAAATTTGTTGTTCTTCCATTTTTTTCTTGCCCTGTTCTTTTTCTTCATCTGGTATTCTGTTGATATGTACGTTGGATTGTTAGATAACATATTGTAGGTCTCTGAGGCTCTGCTCATTTTTAAAAAATCACTTTCCTCTGTGTTGTTCCATTGCCCCACCTTCAAGTTCACTCCCCCCTCCTCTGTAATTTGGCTGTTGAACTTGCCCAGTGAAACTTTTTATTTCTGAAATTTTAATTTTCAGTTTCATAATTTCCATTTTTTTTCTCTGCTGGGTTTTTTATATGTATCCTGGGGTTTTCATTCACTGAAAACATGTTTTATTTTTGTTCCTTGAGGATAGTTATAATAGTTACTTTCAGATCCTTATCTGTTTTTTTCCCCAAGGGTTGGCCTCTAGAAAATGTGATCCATTTTCTTATTTTTCATGTGTTGGTAATTTTGCATCATATCTTAGACTTTATGAGTGATAAGTCATGGAGTGTTTTGATCCCATTTTTCTAGGATCAGTGTGTTTTCCTGTGTATTGGTAGGTAATTTTCTTGGCTGGATTTGAACTGCAAATTCTGCTTGTTTGGGGACAGCTCTGGTCTCAGTTCAGATTTTTTGTTTTTAACCAAACTGCTGTGACTCTGTTTCAGCAGAGTCCTGACTCTGGTTCAGGATCTGTCAGAGATAGAAGCAGAGAGAATTTGGGGATCCCCTCTCTGCCTTCTTCTAGGATGTCCTGAGTTCTTACGCATTCAGATTTCCTTCCTTCCCTTTTCTGGCTCCCCAGATAAGAAAAACAGAGAGGTTTAGCAGGCTGCTCTTCCTACCAAAGTCAGCCTACTTTTGTTTGCATCCCAGGAAGTATATTCAGGTGGTTGCTTTTTGTCCGATATCCAAGTTTTACCGATGTTTTCTATCGGGGGATAGTCCAGTAGGGTCTTTGTCGTATTTGGAAGCAGAAGTTCTCTTGCTACCTGGGACTTTCAATCTTGAGAGTCATTTCTTGCATAGGCCAATGCAACAGCTTCCTAACCATTCCCTTTGTCTACCTCTATTCTCAATACACCAGCCAGAGGGATACTATTAAAGGTTAACAGCAACTTCTAGGGTCTCCCCATTTCTCTCACAGTAAATCCATTAATGTTTACAATGTCCCCCGCTGCCTGGTTGAAACTCCCCATCCTTGGCTTCCTGGTCACATGTTTCTGCGGGGTTGCACCCCACTTTTCTGACCACTCATTCAACAGCTCCTGTTCACTCTTGCTCCTCTAATCCCGAAAGGTGAGTTCACCCTAAAAATGCGGTTCTTGGCACTCTGGTCTTTCTTTTTTCCACTTTCCTCTATGGTCATCTCACCCACTTCTACACTTGAAGATTAATTATAGGGCACTGAATGAGGCTCTTCCTGTTCCCTAGAACTGGACACCTGGACCCAATGTTGAAGGCAAAGAGTCCTTCTGTATTCCTTACTTTCCCAACAGAGCTGCAAACAACACTGATGTGAGGAAACTTCTTCCCTCTAGTATCTGCTCAAATTTGAATAAACGAGAGTAAACCTGGAGTGCGTTACGGCAGGTTCTAGCCACCTTTGTTAAAGGTGCAGATCTGCGTCCGGCAGCTCGGAGGCAGCGGGCGGCCGGGAGGCGGAACCCTTGGGCGCGCGTCCCTGCTTCTGGCCGGGCGCGGGGAGCGGTGCACAACGTGCGCGCACCCCTGCCGGCATGGAAGAACGCGGCGATTCCGAGCCCAGCCCGGGCTGCAGCGGTCCGAGACCCGGCGGCGCTCTCGGTGGCGGTGGCGCCCACCCATGGGCCCCGGAGGACGCCTGGATGGCCACTCACCCAAAGGTCAGGAGGCGCCAAAGGAGCGTGGCGCCGGTCCAGGCCCCCACCCCAGGCAGAATCCCCGCAGCGCGCTCCCCCTTCTAACCCTTCACCCCTGCAGGGCCCGGTCGCTGAGTTCGCGCGCGACCCTCGCGGAAGGGGGCCCGCGTGCGCACTGCCATCTGCAAGCAATATTGTTTTCGTTTGTTTCAATCAGTTCAACTATTGCTCGGACACTACCGCATACCCCCATCGCCATTCTTCACCGCAGGTGAAGACAAACACGGCCCCTCACAGGTCGAAGGCCAACAGTAGCCACTCCACTAAATGTCTAAGTGTGACCATCTAGGGTTGGTCTGGGGAATGGTCTCGTTTAATCCTCACACTGACCACGCAGAACAGACTGTGGGAGGTGGATAAGATCTGGGAGTCTGTAATGATAAAGGTTCAGGAACTAAGCCGTGGGCCCAGAGTGAGTGTGCGTCTTGATTGTGCTGCAGTGCAGATGCCTAATTTTTCGAATTTCTTGGGAAGTTTGAATAGGTTGTTCCCCAAAACAGAACTACTCACATTGTGGTGTGTTTTTCTGTATTAGCGGTAAGGGAGAAAAGGATAGTTCCTTGCTTGCTTCTGCTTGGCAGATTGCTGCCTTATACCATTACTGCCCCTGGCAATGAAGGAACAGTGAATGGGGATGGGGACTTTGTAGGAATCTGGGGGGACTGGTCTAGTAACTTTGGTAGAATTGCAGTCTTCTGCCAAAGAGCAGTATGTCATAGGCAATCATCTAAAAACAGTCAAGAAGAGGAAAGTATTGAAGCCATAAGTCTGAAGAGTTAACCCCTTCCCGTTTTATCTTGCTTAATGCTACCCTCCTTCTCTGTCTCCTTAAACACAAACAATAACGTGGAGATGCTATTCCGTTTCCTAAAAACAAAAACCGAAGCATGGAGAGGCAGCATAGTGGTTGGGAGCATGAACTCGAAGCCACGTTGCCTGGGTTTGAATCCTGGTTCTGTCACCAGCTTTGTGATTTGGGGAAAATCATTTCATCTTGTTGTGCTTCGTTTTTCTCATTTGTAACATGGGGATGATAAGAGTCCTTAGCTCATAGGGTTCTTACAGGGCTAAAGTATTTTACATATAGTAAGCACTATGTAAGTATTTAAGAAGTGAAACACCAGTAACAAGTTTTAAAAACCTCATCTGTAATTTGGTGCTGCTATTCAGTTTTATTACTTGCGGATTTTTTGTCTTTGAAGTTACTGGCTATATAGGCTCTGACCATCAAATCTTCCCTTCCAATATTTTTTCCTCTTGAAGGATCTAATTGATTTTTTAAAAAGAAAGAAAAGAAAAGATATTGGGTGTTTGGTTTGTCCACTTCTGTCTTTTTATTATTCAATTTGAAAATTACTTAGGTCCATCTAGTTACATGGTATCAGATTTGTCATCCTCAAATACCTTTTTCATCAGATTCTCCTGCTTAGAAGTCCTCAGTGTTTCCTTATGGGTAGAATTCAGACTTTCAGTTTGGCTATCAAAGCCTTGCAGCCTGGCCCCCAATTACTTTTTCACTGCTGTGGCCAAGCACATATGAGGTTTGAGGAGGACAACTAACAACACCCCTGTTGTCCTGCACCTGTCCGCTTATGCTGAAGCCAGCAGGAGAATGGGACTTCAGCTGTGTCCCGGGGCGTGTCTGCTAATCTCTCACCTCTGCACTAGCTCTGCTCACCCCCCTAGTCACTGATGCAGCTGGGCAACCTCAGGCTTCCCCTGCAGGAGTAGGCCCCTGAAAAATGTTCCCTCAGTGCTGACCAGCAAGTCTGAAAGCAGCAGTGCATTGCTTGGTCCTTTCTTTAAAATCTAGCAATTAATTAACTCCTACTCTTGAGAGAGAGAGAGAGAGGGGCCAGGAGTGGTATTCTAGCAGATTTTCTCCATGTGCAAATGAGAGACCAGGGCAATAGAGGCTCCTACTAGCATGACCCAACAAAAACGTAATGAAGTAATGTCTCTACTTCTGGCAGATAGATTTCTTTATAGGCCTTTGAATATGTGTGGCTTATTTGTGTGATTAAATAATCACACAGAGGTGGGATTCAAGTTGGGCCCTTTGTGTGATTAGTGACACTGTTGCGTAGCTTCTCTGTTTACTCAAATAGTACATGCCCTTCAGGGCCCACCTTGAATCCCACCTCTGCCATAAAACATTCACCAGCCAAGCCACCTGAGTGTAGCTCCTCTGACCTGTTGTGTCATTTTTCTTAATTCTTACCTGAGGACATATTATTGATTTTAGAGAGAGGGGAAGCGAACGAGAAAGAAAGAGAGAAACATTGATGCCAGAGAGAAACATCAATTGGTTGCCTCTTGTAGGTGCCCAACCCGGGACCAAACCCAAAACTTAGGCATGTGCCCTGCCTGGGAATCAAACCCATGATCTTGTAGTTTACAGGGCAATGCTCCAACCAACTGAGCCACACCAGCCAGGGCTGTGCCATGTTTTTTTTAATTTCACTCACTTGATTTTTAATCACTTTCTGTCATGTATTGTTATTTGCCTAACAGTTGCAAGTATGCAATGTGTTTACCCTGCAAGTTTTTTAGAGGCAGGGAGCAGGTCTTATATTGCCTTGTAAATCCCACTGTGCCTAGAATTGAGTTTTATACACTGTATATATTTAATAAATAGTCATTGAGTGAAAGAAAATATTGAAAGATTGTTCTCTGTTTAATAATTACATTTTGATTTTCAGTATTTAGAAATGATGGAATTAGATATAGGAGATGCTACCCAAGTTTATATAGCATTCCTGGTGTACCTGGACCTCATGGAGAGTAAGTTTTTGTTTATATTGCTTTATTATTGGCACAGGCCATGGTAGAGGGTTGGGGAGTTGGGTTTGGCTATAGCATTGTTGACATTATAATAAGCCATTATTTATGCATTTGCTATTAATGTCATCAGTTTTGTAATTTCTTCATTTACATTGGGAATTACTGGATAACAAAATAAGTAAAAGAGAAGGTAAATTAAAATATAAAGAGAAGATAACATTATAAGAGATATTTGCTGAGCTGAATATTAGGTAGAAGTTTAGAATTTTTATCTTTGATTTTTCATGAACATTACTGTTCACTCCCTGATGCTCTTGCAGGTAAGAGTTGGCACGAAGTGAACTGCGTGGGGCTACCCGACCTCCAGCTCATCTGCCTCGTCGGCACCGAGATAGAGGGAGAGGGGCTGCAGACGGTGGTGCCCACGTCCGTCCATGCTTCCCTCAGCCACAACAGGTGGGCCGGCGACTGGTCTTTGTCCCCAGGTCGTCCGTTCGTCACGCTGCACTCTGTAAACTCACACAATATATATCAATTCTATGTCAGTTAAAAAAAAAAGCATGATGGAATGTGAGTGGGTGAAAAGGATGATCTACTACAGGGAATAGCAATTTAAATTGATTTTATATTAAAAAGAATGCGCTGACTTTGATACTTCATTGTTAGAAACAAATTATTTTCCATACACTGCACAACCAGTCTGAGACATCAGTTGTAAACTGTTATCCTAGACTGTGCTGCTTAGCGGTTTGAGTACAGTGGGGTTTTTTTTAATGCTCTTTATTTCTCAAAAACTTTACATAACACTTTTATGACTAGGGAGTTTGGGTGGTATACAAAGCCCGAGAGCCAGAGGAGTGAGCATGTTGCTGGAGGGGCAGTTTCATGTTATTTACGTGGGGCTTATGGGATACAAGCCATGATAGCCGTCCCCGTCACTGAAGCCGGAGTTTGTGAAACTGGATTAAACTCTGTCATTTACAGAGTTAACTACAATTACTCATAAAATATTTCCCCAATGATGACAGTAAGTAATCTCACTGTATCCTAGTTTAAAACCACTTAGTGGCTCTCTCGACTGCTGAGTGACAGACACAGTGGCGTGTGTGTGTGTGTGTGTGTGTGTGTGTGTGTGTATTTGCATGACTCATTCTTGCCATTATTTATTTTATGATGTATATGTATGTGCAGACTCCTTACAAGGTAACAATTCTAGGTAACATTTCATGTTACACCTGAATTTATAAGATTGGCCGCACAGTTTTCATATCCATGTCCTGCTTAGTTTCCCGGGCTTTGGACCTGGTGATCTCACTCACTGAGAACACAGGCGTTGGCACGAGTGCAGATGGGCTGGCTCCGTGTGACAGAGCGGCCGTGTGACAGAGCGGCTGTGTGACAGCCGCGGGGGGAGAACGCGCTGCTCTGAGCAGACGCGCTTTGTGACTGGTGTGTTCTGTGCGGCACTCATACCTCACCGGTGCTCAGAGTGAAAACACCTTGGCATGATTTTCAAGTCTCAGAAGGTCTTTCGGGTGGAAGTTGGCGTGGAGTGAAGTGAGTGGCGTCACCAGGTCCCCAGCTCATCCATCCTGTCAGTGCTGAGGTGGGGGAAGGGGCACAGACCGTGGCGCCCACGCCCTCAGCACTTGCCTTGGGGAAGTGTTGGCCGAGTACTATTCGCTGATCTCTGGTAGGAGAATAGAGCTGGTCCAGTGCCCACATCGGATTGTCTGGTGGGAGAATTGTGCTGATGGAGGGTGAGGTTGTTAGTGTTTCTTTAAGGACACAACACATCTCCTTGTTCTGTCATCTAAAAATGCTACTTCATGCTCATGTTAAATAACTATTAGCTTACATTTAAACAGATTACATTAAGTTATGTGTTTGTATTGTACATGCATTTGGAGAGTCCTCTAGATTGTCTCTTACTGAAGTGAATCTGAGAATCCAGGTGGCGCACTTGGTAGGTGACCTCAGAGGTGTGGACACTGGTTTCCCAGACCCAGCAATGGCATAAAATGGTGTTAGTAAGTTCGCAGAGGTCAAAGAGATCTGATTCGGATGAGGCGAGCAGAGGAACCCTAAGGAAAGACAGGGCCTCTTCCAGCGCCGAGTAGCAGCCGGAGCCCCACATGTGTTCAGAGGGCCAGAGTGGCGTCTTTGGGCCGCCGTGCCTCTGCTCCTCCTCGAGTGTCCCTGCACAGCAGGGGTCTGTCGCCGCAGAGCTAGGGAGCGAGGACCTCGGGTTTCTGTGGTAGTGTTAGCGTCACAGTAGTCGTCCACGGGAAAACGTCTCAGTAACTTACACAAGGACCTGGAGCAAGTTCTGAGGAAAGGGCATTTCTGTTTTGTGCTCCCCTTTTTTTCCTGATGGAACCTGTGCGGTCTCCCAGTTGCAATGTCACTGCAGTTTCTTTGGTAAAATGCAAGAGAGAGATGCCGAAAACTAAACCGCAGTTGTCGTATTTCAAGCTTATCTGTGTTTATACTTATTTTGTTAATTTTTAAAAAGCTGAGTGAAGTGTTTTTGTAAGTTATAAAATCCAGAGACAGTTAACAACTGTTTTTTAAAATGATCTGCAAATCTTGTGTTGTTTTTTTTTTTGCTTCATGATGCCAGTGAATCATTCACCCTGTTCACCCGACTGAGCAATAAAGGGCCCTTTCATCCCCGCCAGCGAAGGAGAGTAGGTAGCCTGTGTGAGGGCGGGGCCTCTCCAGCGGCCATTTACCCCCTGGGTTCCACAGATGAGTGGCGTTTCTCTTGATTTCTGGTGATACATGGGTACTCTCGGCCATTTTACCCGAGAGAAAACTTTCCCCTTTCTTAGCATCTTCCAATCTGAAAATTACTCTAGAAATTCAGAAAAAAGCTTCAATATTCCGTATACCAAATTGGTCATTTGCTAATTCAGCAGCCCTAAGGCTAAAAGCCTTAAGACTTTTGTCATTTGTTTGGTCAAGACTCTTTTGGCCATACTCTTGCCACTTACTAAGTGGTCCTTTCTTATAACACTTATCACATTTATTGTTACTCAGTATATTTCATATATATGTATTTTTATTGTTTACTGTCTTCCTTCTCTATTAGAAAATAACCTCCATGAAAGCAGGAACTTTGTTCTGTTCATTGCTGTCTCCCAAGTGTATAGCCTAGTACCTGGTACTTGATATTAAATCAGTGTTTGTTGAATGGCTAAATGAGCTCTCTGAGACTACTAAGTTCCTGTGGTGGAGATTTGCTAAATCAAATCTTAAAGAACACAAAGACATGCTCAAACAGTCTTCTAAGAGTTTCAAAAAGATTAGATTGTCTACAAAATCCATTTGCTTGCAAGATTTATCACTATTTCCCACACTTTACACTGTAACTGTACTACGCTACTGAGGAAGGAGACAATGACAATGCCCCCTGACCTTTTAGAGAATCTCTTTTTCATCCATACCTGCCCCCCTACCTTTAATCCCCTTTTTTCCCTTATCGTCTGGGGAAGAGGACTTAATAGTGGAGGAGTAAAGGGCTGCTAGAATTGACTGAGTTCCTTCTTTAGAACATTTAAAAATTTTTAATTGTTTTAAATTGAGGTGTAATTGACATATAACATTAGTTGCATGTGTAAACATAATAATTTGCTATTTGCATACATTGCACAATGATCAGTGCAGTAAGTAGTTAACAAAATTTTTTTTCTTGTGACAATTACCTCAGTATCTACTCTCTTAGTAACTTTCGAATGTGCAATATAGTATTATTAACTGTACTTAGAGCCTCTTAAAAGATGTTCTTAATTATAAGATTTAATCCTGAAATGTGATCATTTTTTTTTTGAAGGATACTTCATTAATTCTTTCCTTGTAATTGAAAAATATCTCCACTCTTTAAAAGTAGATTCTTTATTACAGAATCATTTAATGACTTATTTATTTGAGGCCTAAAGCTTACTAACCGGTAAAATGATCTCTGTCCTTTGACTTCCCTGCGTGTCAGGGGCGTGTCCCTGTGTTGCCTCTGTTGGGAGTCTGGTGCCCGTGAAATCCCCAATTCTGGCAGCTTCTTTCTCTTGCCCTCCACGCACTCACACGCACGCACAGAGCTTGCAGTTTACATGAGCAGAATGGCTTCCCACTGGGGCGAGCAGCCACACAAGCGCCTAATTGTTCAGCAAGCCCCCCTTGGAGGTTAGCCACCTTGCTTTTTCACTAGGAAGGCCCTGGCCTGATTCCCAAGGAGGCGGTCTGTTGTCCTTGAAACTTTTCTTCAGGATTGAGCCTGTGGATGAATAAACCTTCTTGGGCACCAGGTGAAACTTGCATTGTGTTTTGGAGCCGGGTTTTGGAGTGTCCTAGTAAATAATATAATGAGGCAAGTCAAGGAGTTAATGTCTTTAATTCATGAGCATACAGCATGTGCCAGTTTGGCCACACTGAAGAAGACAGAAGGAGATAGTGCTTTCTGGGGGTCGAAATTAATAATAATTTTAACCCGTGATGCGTTCTGTTCCAGCAACACTTGAAGGTAACAGTAACGCTGCCTTCAACCCTCTTGTCCTCTGTGTTCATGTCCAGAGGTCGCTCAGCCTCTGCTGAGGGGCCGGCACTCAGCCCAAGGCCCGGACTCACGGAGGGCGTGTGGGAGGAGGGGCAGTCACCAAACAGTGTTTCCTGTCTGTCTGCCGCAGGCCTGTGCTCCAGTTAGCCTCGTTAAACTTCCGAATCCCTCTGTTTACGCACGCTGAGCACCTCTCCGAACAGCTGTGAAAAGAAAACCCATTGCAAATGTCAAATTCTGTTACATTTGAAACAACTGATTATTACTGATTTATCTCTTTGGTCAAGTGGGGTTTTTCTCTTGAAATGTAATGAACTAAAAAAATATGAAATTCTTCTTATTAATACATAGGTTGTATTTTTCATAAGTGGATTTATACCAAATATGAACTATAAACAATTCTATTATCTAAATTACTACTTTGGATTTGTGTGATGAAACATCACTACAGTATTTTTCTAAATAACTGAGCTTTTAAAAAATGTACGTGTGAGGAAACTTTGTTTCATGATTTCTGAGTTACAATTTCAAACTGAAGTTGTTGGAAGGTACGTGAGATTATAGTATTTTAGTGATTCTTGGTTCTCAGCATCTTTACTGTCTGTGATTTTTAAAATAGAACGTTGGCACCTTTTATTGTTGTTGTTATTATTACTAGATTGAGAAAGCTGCACAATCTGTTGACTTAAAGGAAGCGTAAACATTGTAAGGAGTTTATCACCATCCTATAAATGGGAAGGACAACGGCACTACTTTAACTGTAAGACAAAAATAGGCTAGTGCAGACCGCAGCAGGGCTGTGGTGGGACTCCGCGAGTCTGCTCTGAGAGCCGGGGCAGACGGACTGTCCGAGTGCGAGTGTGTTATCACCGGAGGGTTCAGGGGGTCCCCCGCCCCCACCCAGACTGCTCCCCAGCAGGACCAGCCCAGCTCAGGGACGGGAAGTCCCACTTCGTTTCTGGCAGTGGTTTCTCTCAACCCTGAAGACAAACCGGCTTCACAACCCTGGGCTGCTTCTCAGATGTTGGGGTTTCCCACACGGGTGTTCTGACTAAGCCAGAAAATGTTTTGCTGTTTGTATCCAAGAACTCTGGAAACAAACATGAATGAAATGGAAATTTCTATCCTAACTTTCGGTATACGGGCTAGAATTTCCACACAGTTCACCTTACGAAACACACACACACGTACATTCTGATTCAAACCAATGGAAGATTCGTAAAGATCGCTTCAGAGGTTCTTCCCTTCCATCTGTCCCCCACCCGTGTCTGTTGCACTCTGCCCGTCCGGGGGTTGGAAGACGCTCGCCTTCAGCCGGCGTGTGCCGCGGTGTCCCCACTCGCCTTTCCCGCCGGTGCCGGGTGTGGGGCGTCTGACCGACACCTGTGCTCGCTGCATCTGGCCCTCTCTACAGTGAATCCCTGGTGGGAACGGGAACCCCCCTGATTTCCGTGCAGTTGAACATAGGTGCAAACTGTTTTTACGGGGGGCGGGGGGGGTGCACGTCTTTGGGATCTGTTTGACCTGTTTACCTGGGAAGGGCTCGTTTCTCCTTGGAGTTGTGTCCCTTTAAACTCCTTCGTGTTCACATCTGTTTTATGGCTTTGGGGAAAAATGTGATATTTTTTAAGCACATCGGGCATTCTCGTTGTTACGGTAGGAATGGTGTGAGATCTGCACACTGTTTGGAAGTGGGACATCCTCCTGCTCTGACTTTTGAATTAGTAATACCGAAAAAACGCACAGTGCCCTGTGCTCATATCTTACGTTCTTATTCTTAACCTCTTCTGTAGTGTAGAGCAGGGGCCAGCGACCTTTTCTGGAAGGGCTAGGTAGTAAACATTTGAGGCTTGTGGAAGGAGTGGCAAAACTGAGGCTGTTGTGCAGGTACTTATGGGGCCATTCAGAATGTTGCAGCTAAAGACGTAAAGACCCCCCTTGGTTCCCGGGCCGTGCAAACGTGGGGGCACAGTGTGCCGAGCCCTGTGCAGAGACACGTGGTAGGAAGTTTGAATGTTTTGATGAGCAAATATCAGATACTGAAATTATAAGTAGCAGGTGGGCAGCCCTTTGTGGCTGATGTTCTGACAAAGCAGTCAGAACTCCGGCTTTCCCAGAAGTTGACTGCTGTTTCAAATCACTTTAAAATCTCCAGTCTCTACTACAGATTTAAAAAAAAAATTGATAATTGTAGAAAGAATATTTCAGAGCAGAGACCTTTCTTTTTTAGATTTTTTTAATAGGTTCAATAGCTAATAGAATGGGTGAAGGGTGACCTTCAGAGTTTTTACTTAGGGATGGGAAGCGGGAAGTAAGGGGACAAATGGCACGTTGGCCGAAGAGAATGCAGAGCTGAGTAATTTGTGGGCCCAGCTGCAGCGTGTCAACGTGCTAGTAAATCTGTCCCCAACTTCTGGAGACCGGGTGAGCTTAATGAGAAAAACAACTGATCGGTTTTTGGTTGCCTTTGAAAGCAAGCTCCTCTGGAGGTTCCATTGGCTGAACTGTTGGACCCGGGCTTTGTGGAGCAGGGAATAAGGTTTTCAGTGGGTGGTTTTCAATTTCAACAAAAGGTAGCAGTGCTTTGAGGACCCGGGTCTTAGATCTGATAGATTATTTTCCACAGCAAGCAAACCGGAATCATTTAGAGCCTTGATAGCTTGGTATATAATTTTATTCCAAAAGTTCAATTTTTCTCTATATTTTTCTCTTTGCTTTTATGATGTATCAGAATACATATTGAGAACGATAAAATATCTATATTCAGATCTAATGATTCCAATACTTGGTAAAATCCAACAAATATTTAAAAAGGAACAAATACCTTTGAGAAAGGTGATCTTCACAGGGTACTTTTATTAGCACCTTCACCCTGAAAACCTGCAACAGAATATTATATAGCCACTTAGCAGTAGTAATTATGAACACAGTGGGGGAAATACTTATTATAGTCTATTTTTTTAAAAACTAACCTCACTACCAAATTGCCTCACGGTCAGACACAGACCCGGAGAACCGGAGCAGGACCGCTCACGGCCCTTGGCCGGTTTCGATGCCCTGCACGCTCACTTCCGGTGACCGTTCTGTGGGTCCTGAGGTCCGGTCTGACTCTCCGGCGGGATGATCAGGAGAGAGGGGCGCATACAAGGGAGAAGGGTGGCCCTGGCTGGTGTGGCTCAGTGGATTGAGCTCCGGCCTGTGAACCAAAGGGTCGCCGGTTAGATTCCCAGTCAGGGCACGTGCCTGGGTTGCGGGCCAGGTCCCCGGCAGGAGGCCCATGAGATGGAACCACGCATTGATGTTTTCTCTCCCTCTCTTTGTCTCTCCCTCCCCCCTCTAAAATAAATAAATATATGAAATCTTTAAAAAAATGTTTTTAAAGAGAAGGGTTGAAAGTCAGTGGCTGGCCCTTCCTTCCAGGATTTTCTGTATGAGAAAACCACTTTAAATGTTTCTGTCTGAGCCTTCGCCATGTTCGTAGTCAGCATTATAGACGTAACAATGCTGTTGCCCACCTCTTCCCCAAGACTTCCCAGTATTTGACCCTATTAATTGAGTGACTAAGAATCCTAAATGCCTTGTGACTTTCTTCGCAGGATAAGGGAGATCTTGAAGGCCTCTCGAAAATTGCAGGGTGACCCGGACTTGCCGATGTCCTTTACTTTGGCCATAGTGGAGTCCGACTCCACCGTAGTCTACTACAGACTTACCGACGGGTTCATGCTGCCGGACCCTCAGGTCAGTGTGGAGGCACCAGCGGTGCACGGCGCACGGAGAGGAGACCGGGCCGGGTCTCGCTGTGGACCGAGCCTCTCACGGCGCTCCCCCTTCCCCTGCACCGTGAGGGTTCGTGAGAAATCATGGCTCTCTCCTCGTACCTCAGAAAACTGCTGTGTTTTGCTCAAAGTGACATGTTCTTAGTGTCCCTAGAAAGCGCTTCCTTACTCTATGGAGAATTTCAGTTTCCCAGAGAACTTCCTGACGTTATGGTGCACTTTATTATCTGATGAGTAACTGAGGTGGAGAGTAAAGGCTAGTGATATTTCTAACCAAAGAACCACTTCTTTGGGTGCGTGACATCGGTTGACGTTTTGAGAGCCGTATTTTCATGAAATGAACGTGCTCTCTACGATGTCTTTACGTGTTTTGTTGGCATAGTCAGGATACTTACATGACATATCTTTCTGGTCTTGCTTTGGAATGACATTATCCTTTGGGGGCAGGCCCATCCTGATCTTCATGTTTTATGTTGCAGAATATTTCCCTCAGAAGATGACGCCTGCGCTTCGGGGCCGACTTTATTCACACGAGGTTGGATCTGAGACCCATCGACCTGCGTGATCTTCATCTCAGAGACGGTCGGGGTGGACCCAGCTGGTCCCACCCCATAGTTTCTGCCTGAAATATAAAACTTTCCCCAATAGGAGAAATTTTTGTTGTTCAGAAATATGGGACAGTTGCTCTAAGACTTTCTTACCTGGAGACAGCTTGGTTACAGTTGCACCAGTTTACACTTCGGGTGTGCTACAAGGGGTGGAATGCGTGGCTCCTCTGGCACCCCCACTTGTACCTGCCCCCCACCCCCGTCCACCACAGCTGTGAGCTCGTCATTGAGACTGCCACCTCGCTCCCCCACTCAGCCCGCTCGGTGCCCGTGGCCACTGCAGCCGGCCGGGACGCCGCTCATGTCCACCTTGATGGCTGAGAGTTCAGTCTGCTGCTTCATCCCACAGGAAGTAAAACATTTCTCAGTTGTTTTTAATGTTGCAACTACTGTTACTTTCCTCTTAGGTGAAAACTATAAATACACTTATCCACAGGGTGAACCCACACGTCTGGGTTAATAAGGAGCCGAGAAGTGTCGCCTCCAGAGTACTGGGCCTCCTTTCCCTCCCTGTTGCCACGGCCGCAGGAGACGAGAGAAATAGTGGGGGCAGGGTCGGCCTTAAAGACGTCCTGACGAAGTAGACCCAGACATTCCACTTTCGTATAATATACTCCAGTTCAGTTGGCTAAAGTGTAAAAAATGATATACACAGAGATGTTCTAAGTAACAATTATAACCCTAAATTCAGGGCTCAATAAACTTTTTCTGTGAAGGTCCAGAAAATGAATAGTTGAGGCTTTGCAAGCCATACCGTCTCTGTCACAGCTCTGCAGCTCTGCAGCTTGCAGCACAAAAGTCACAGTAGACCGTAGGTGAACAAATGGGCATGGATGGCTGTGTTCTAATAAAACTTTATTTACAAATGCAGGCATATACACACACAGTGGTACATTATATAGTCATTAAAAATTAGTAAAAAATATAGTGAACAAAAAATACTAAGTAAAAAAGCAAGATATGAAAGTGTGTGAATGGGTGTATTCATGGCTGTAAGTAACACACCCAACGTGTAATAAAACAACAGAATGAATCACTAACCGGTTATATAATAGAATGGCAGGGCAGTAAATGGATGACTTGGTTTTTCTTCAGTATTTGTTTTCCTTTATTTGTATTTTATAATAAAAGTTTTTCTAAAAAAATATTTTGAAATCTGTTAGTTACCTATTATTGCACAATACTATCCCACACGTTACAACTTACAACAGCACCCATTTCAGACCTCAGAGTTGGGCCCCTCCTAAGGCTGCAGCCTCACCCAAGGTTTGACTGCAGAAGGGCCTGCCTCCTGACTCGCTAGTAGCAGCTCCTGGCTCCCTGTTGGCAGTCGGACTGAGGGCTTCAGTCCCTAGGACGCTGCTGGCAGAAGGCCACCCCCAGCTCGGCCACGTGGGCCTTGCCAGCACACGGGGTTGCTTCCTCAAAGCCAGCAAGGAGTTTCTCAGCAAGATGGACCTCACACTGTTACGTAACATAATCTTACACATCCTCCCACCTTTACCCTATTCTGTCCGTTCAGAGTCAAGTCATGGCTGATTACTCTAGGAGAGTGACAATAACAAGAATGGAAAATGGCCAAGGATAAGAATATTACAAAATGTTATAAAAGCATCCTTCTTGGTCTGTCCTAGCTCCTGACACTTTTCTTTTGATAATACTTGAATTTCACTTTTATTCCTGATGGAAGGTCCTGGGAGCTCTTTCGGCCCCTCCCCCTCTGCTCCTGCAGAAAGCCTGCAGGCGCACCGGTTCGTAACAGTGAATTTCCAGAACTCCAGTTGTCAATTTCCAAGAATCCTACAGCAGTGTATGATTAATTCTTAGGGTTTCTCCCACTGGATCCCTTTTGAGGCTTTTCATCACAGTGCTGGAAAAGTGGTGCATTTTCAGAAAGAAATGTAAAGCTTAATGAGCGATAGGTCAGATAACCCTGAGACCGGGAGTGTCCTGGGTCGACTGTGAAAGCTTTCTCACGACGTTGCAACGGTCCATCCCGGAATGTCTACTGTGTTCCAGATCGTCCCCTGTGTACTGGACCCGAGTTGTTCCGTCCAAAGCCAGCCAGACACCTGCTAATGTGAATAACGGTCCAGAACAGTTTGGGAAGGGAGACAACTCAGCTGCCTGCATCTGTTTCATTTTAGTGAAAATCTAGCTAAAGTGATTTTTTTATGTGTGATCAAGTGGTTGTATAATTGCATTTGCATTCATATCTCTTTTTACACATCTGTGTGCCCCATTACCTTCCACAGCAACTGGCATGTATACTAAGCTTTTAATAAATATTTGGTGAGTGGATGCATGCTGTTCGTAGGCTTGGTGAATTACATACACATAGTGATTGACTTTTTCCCTCAAGGCGAGCCGAAATCCATTTGGACAGCAGAGGGCGCTGCTAAACAAGCACAGATTTTTCAGACCAGGAGCCAATCAATCAGTTTGAGAAGTGGTGCCGTGCCCTTCATCGGTTTGAGAAGCAGTGCTCTTGAAAATTTATTTTCGATCTGTGGGAAATAGCATAAATAAAAGTATAAGTTTCATGTGCTCACACCCCCTTTCTTTCTGGCATGCCTCTAAAATTACACTCTCGACTGTCGTTAAATATGTGATTCTATTCATGCTTTCCTCAAAATGTAGATCCGTCTATAAAAAGAAGCTTGTTTGGGGCAGGGGGAGGTGGCGTGGGAGTTTTTCTCTAGACTATGGTTTTGTTCATATCCATATGAAATGGTGCTTTTCATTCTTTTTTTCCTTGCAAAAGCCTAATTTATTAAAGAAATTTCAAATACAGATCACGGAGCAGGAGACCCCAGCTCCGAAATGCTCACTGAACGGGCTGCCCCCCAGTGGTGAGAGGCAGCAATTGCTGTGACGCATATAAACTCCTCCGTGGAAGGGGGCCCACCCCAGACTCCAGCAGGATGGGGGGGGGGGGGGGCGGTTTCACTGTAGTGCTGTCTTTGCCTTTGTTTTTGTTTTTGTTTTCTTTAATTATTGTTAAAGTACAGTTGTCTCCATTTCCCTGTCACCACTCCCCCGCCCCTCACCCCCACTTCCCACCCTCAATCCTTCCACCCTTTGGCTTTGTCCACGGGTCCTTTATACATGTCCTTGACCACCCTCCCCCACTTCCCCCCCCTCCCATTCTCCTCCTCCCCCCTCCTCTGGTGCCTGTCAGTTTGTTCTTTATTTCAGTGTCTCTGGTTATATTTTGACAAGCTAGAGTTTTCTTATAATCAGCATTATATCACATGAAATCATAGCTTCTCATGTTTTAAAGAATCAATAATTAGGCCAGTGGTTTCCATACGGTTACCATATAATTTTAACATCATAAAATACAGTTTAAAAATGAAATGTTATTCAGAATCCCCAGCATTTTAACTTAAAGTATCATATATGTCCACCACAATATTTCTTTCTTTCTTTTTCTTTTCTTTCTTTCTTTCTTTCTCTTTCTTTCTTTCTTTCTTTCTTTCTTTCTTTCTTTCTTTCTTTCTTTCTTTCTTTCTTTCTTTCCTTTCTTTCTTTTCTTTTCTTTCTTCCTTTCTTTCTTTTTCTTTCTTCTTTCTTTTTCTTTCTTTCTCTCTCTCTCTCTCTCTCTCTCTCTCTCTCTCTCTGTTAAAGGTGGTTTTGTTTGTTTGTATGTTTGTTTGTTTGGAGCCCCTGTTGGCGCGCCCTCTGCACTCAGCTGGCGGTCCCACGAGTCCGGATGAATCCAGTTCCCACCCCCCCCCCCCCCGCCACCTGGGGCCTCTCTACAAAATGAGTTCCCGTGAAAAACATTCAAGCAGTGGCACCTCGCGATTCTAAGCTATAAATAGAAAAGAATAGTAAACTCCAACAAATCCGTGTAAAGTGTGTGTTTTTAAACTGAAACAGCTCTCTACTTCAACATGGCTGGGACCAAAGGACTTGGCCCAAACGGCCCGGGGTTTCATCTCCCCTGTCGGAGCGTTTCTGCTCTGAATTCCTCTCTGAGGTCACTTTTTCCGTGGCAGCCCCCGCAGGAGGCCTTTCGCTGCCGCAGCACAGCGCTCCTGCCAAAGTTTACAGTTCGGCACAGAAGCTCTCTATCCGTCTGCGGTGGTTCACCTCGACTGTGCGCGTGCGCGGGATAACGCCGCGGTGGCCTCTGAACAACGAGTAGGACAATTTCCCTTCTTCCAGACCCAGCGCGGCTGGTTCCTTACCTCCCCCCTCCCGCAGCCTACGCCTCTTAGTGATCTTTGAGTAAGAACGGCTTGTGCTCCGGGAGGAAAGAGGTTGGGAAAATCCCAAGACTGACTGGGTGGGTGTGCTTCTAAAATGTTTAGGTGATACTGGAAAACCTCCTCCAAACCAATGTAACCAAAGTCGAAGATTGGCTTTTTAAGTTTCAGGGTATTGAATGGAGGTAATATTAGAAATGTTTGATTAAAGTTCACTTTATTTATTTATTCCTTTTTAGACATTAATTGGGCGCCTTCTGTGTACTTAGATGACTGGTAAATACCAGGGAGACAAGGATTAATGCGATATGACCTCTGCCCTCAAGAAACTCAGAGGCCAATCACAGCTCTCCTTGGCCAAAATCCCAAAGCACGCTGTCAATGTGAGTGAACACCGTCGGTCCTGTGGTCTGTGAAGTTACACACTTTACTTCATGGTGAAGGGGTCAACAATTTTGGGCATGTTAAACAGTTTTGAAACAACCATATGCATAATATTTGTCCCAAAGGACTGAACTTTAAATAGGACACGAAGAAATATCACGCGATGCGCCTCTCAGGGCAACTGGAGAGCCTCCCGGTGCCGTGTTCTGTGTACCTGCTCAACCCTAGTTCCGGAGCCTGCGATTCCCTGCCGAGTGCTTCAGCACTCTCTATTGTGACTCTCACAACAGAGCTGGTGTTATTTACTTGTTACTGTTAATGTATTGTCCTCATTTTGTGGATGGAGAAATTAGGGTACCCAGTGATTAAGCCATGGCTTTTATATAGCAGCAAGCAAGTGGGTAACGAGGACCAGGACCAACTCTCTCACTTGGCACACTGGGCTTTTCGGAAGACCACGCTGCCTCTTTCTTACACGGTGCACAGAAATATCCTGATATGTGTCAAAGGGACGGAGAACGAAAAAATGACTGCTTAGTGCCAGAGGGAGCTAGGATGTGATTTAGGGATCAGTTGTATTATCCTCTTGTGCTCTAGAACGAATGTATCAAAATGCCAGGCTGTCTGTGGGTAATCTAGAAAACAATATTCATAGGCAATATACCTATGATGTCTTATTACAAAGAAGAAATACATTCATGCCCACGTGCTTACATAGGAAAACGTAAAACAAATTTAATGTTGAGTGAGAAAGAGCTCAGAAAGTTTCTCTGTTCGTTAAAGCTGGATTTTGTACTGGCACAAAGAGTAGACTCGGGGAACTCTTAAATGATGGTTTCACCCTGAGTGAGGAAGGCTGTTGCACCCTAAACATCCCCCAAATCTGCCTGCTATTGCTTGGAATCCTACCGTAATTCTACTTCTTCATCATGAAGCTTCGATCCACATTGGTGACAAGCATAGGCCAGGCACAATGCTAAGATTTGGGGGGAATATAACCCCAAATATGTTCATAGATCCAATAGATACAGTTAACTAGAAGCATTTCTAAATGTTTATTCTAAATTTCTATACTTGCCTCATTGCAGACAGGTGGTGTTTTGTGGGTTGGCATTTGAGTAGCAAGTGGCAGAGCTCCAATGACAGGTGCTGACAGCCTGAGCCCTGACAGTAGCCCAGGGGCGTTAGTCAGGATGGGCGAGATTCTGATGCAGTAACAACCAGGGAGTTAGCTTAACCGACGTTTGTTTCTGGCTCACATAGACTTGGAGTCCTCACTCTGGGCGTCAGGTCAACAGAGGCTCTGCCTTCCAGAATGGTGTTGGTCCCAGTGGAAGGAAGAAGAAAGTACTGTAATGTCTGCAATAAAATGTTTCCTCCAAAAGCAACACAGGCATCTCTGCCTGCATGTTATTGGCCAAAGCAAGTCACATGGCTGGCATCAACTTCAGGAAGGAGAGGAAGTGAATTCTGCCTTGTTCCCGGGCAAGGAGAAGGAATAGTCAGAGAACATCATTTCTAGATAACGGGGAGGCGTGGAGAGACAATG